GTAATCCATGACTTATTTTCAAAGAACACAGCCAAGTCCTAACATCCCAGATGGTCCAGCTCACAAACTTAGTCACAATTACTACTGTGACCGAGATCTGCGTCGAGCTTCAATGCCACCAGTTATATTGTATGGCCAGCAGAAGCTGTTAGAAGAGGCTACAGAGAAAGGGTGAATGAAATATTTGTAAAAGTGAATATTAATCTCATATTTATAAATCTAGACATTGATAACAGAGAGTTCCAGACTGGGTACAAACAGGTTACATTTAAATTTTTTCCCAGGTTGAGAAACTTGTTCAAAATGCAATCATAAGACTTAGATAGCACCATTCATTATGAAGCACACTTAAACCCAGTTTTCTGAAAAAAAAAAAAACCCTTGGTTATCTGAACACATTTTATTGGCAGTCAAGCAAGCAAGCAAAAAGTTAATTTATAGTGTCCAAAGTAAGTTTTTAGTTTCCCTCCTGCCCACACCATAGGCAATTTGGATTGTTTCTAAGTATTTTATTAGCATTTGTAATTTTTTCATGATAAATGGACCATTTGTTTAGTGTATCTGTCAAATACTTTTGCTGTAATAGTCTAGTGTTTTATGTACATAGGTAATTAATTTTTTTGATAAACTGCCTTGTCCTAAAACAAGTCACAGACTATTGTGTTGTTAAGAGTTTTTTTTTTTTAACATTTAACAAGGCATGCCCTTTAAGTTCTGAAGAAAAAAGGTGAAAAGTATGGGAAATGGAAAATTGATTGGTAGCTGTGAGATTTTCTGTCACTTTCCCTTTTAAGAATTGTTGGACTTTTTCTGTATTTATTTTCTATGGGTAAGAGGTAATTAGGTCAATTTGTCACCAAAAGAATTATGGGTGCTCTGTTCAAGTGTGGCTTTAGGTTGGTGTAATTTTGTGTGGGTGTGTGTGTAGTAAGTTAATTAATATTTTTCATTTTTTTTTTCCATAAATGTATTTTATATTTTAAATATTTCTCTATCAATTTTCTTTTTCAGTGGAGAAGGAGTCAAATCACTAGCCACAAAAACTCCAGGAAAAGTGTTCAATCCAGATCAGTGACTGCTTGTGAAAAAAAAAACTATCACAACTGGGATAAACATTTATTTGTATTCAAAAATTACTTCTTTTTCTTTGAACTCATGATTTTCCTCTGAACTACCAACAGTAATTTATCAGAAATAAATAAGCCCAATATTTTTTTGCTGGGCAAAGTCAGTACTATATGGTTTCCACAGTTATAAGAACAATGGCTGATACTATTTGTAGCAGTTTGGTTTGTGAGTGTCTTTTTGCAAAATTATGGATTTTAAAGAGCATGGATCAAACCTTTTCAAACTGGTTGACATTAAGTTTGTTGAAAATATTACTTTCTGGAGGTGTTGAGTCTTAACATCCATGGAATTTTTGTGTTAAAAAATTATATGCAATGTTTTATAGGGGTTAATTTCAGAGTTAACCCTTTA